GCAAGCAGCTTTCGCGCGGGTGCTGACGTGGCACCTCCAGAGCTGACACGTGTCCTTAGGAGGGCGCCCAGCTGAGACTGGCCTGCCAATGAGAGCTCCGCTTGCGCCTGGGCTAAAAGAACCAGGCAGAAGGTCAGAGACAAACAGAGCGGCAAACCAATAACTCGGACGCGCATTGCTTGGAGGGGGGCCATGTTAGCTGGCGTTTCGTCAGTGGCAAACTAGCCTTTCTGAGACAGTTGACTTTCAGAAGCGCACCACATGGAGCGAATCACCACATGTACAGGACGTACAGTTTGCTGCTCAGCTCCTGGAGGAAGACCTGGAATGCAGTAGTGGGCGCTCGGAGTGACTTCTGACCAGCAGCTTGCAGAAAGTAGCGACTAGGTTGAGGGCCGAATTGAATAGTACTCGAAACGCAAAATATGCACAGACAACGTGAAGGAGAGAGGGACAGGACAGAATCCGGGGTGTTGCGTCAAGTTCGAAGATCTGATGTCGAGACTCGAGGTGGAAGAGTGTGAGCTGGCGATTGCTATTATGCTATAGCCCGCTTGCATTAGCTGCAAGTCCACAAGTCGACAGGCACAAAATCATGTTTAGGATGGCTGGACAATACCTATTGTATCTTTGTATCATGTGTCAGGATGACGAGGACAAGACGAGGACAAACTTTAATGCACTGTAGGTTACATACAGCTATACAGCTGGCTATTATTTGTCAAATTTGTGCACTTTTTGGAAGGTCGGGCTGGCAAGGCCGTGCCTTCCGCCGTGCTTGAAAAGGCCACTATCGACGTTTTGCAGCAGCCAAGCACTTGCGGAAATGCAGCTGTTGACTTCGTCAACATTGACAACATCGACGATTGCAACTTGGACAGAGTATACGGACTTCGCATTTCTCCTGTAAAGTCGATCACGTCAGACTTCGACGTGACTTCGACCTGCGACCTCTGCAGCGCAGTAGAGCAGGACTTAGGCCGGCTGTATACTAATATTCCTGTTATTTGGAGGAGCTGATGAAAACGTCTGCCGAAGAATACCTACTCAAAATTTTACCGGTCCTCGAGGACGTTGCCTGAAATGATGTGCAGAATGCAAAGGAAAAGCCTTTGACCAGTGTCTGTTTGTGGTCCGTTTGTTGTACACATGTCGAGCCTTATTTGGTTGCCGTCTATTAGATAAATCATATAAATGTCATTTGACGTGTTAATGCGACTGTAGGTAAAATGATTGGCTCGCGGTACGCTGTCAGCTCCTGCCAGAGCAAAGTACGGTAGTCTTCTTTAGATCACGACACAGTACATTTGTTGACATTTCGAGAGCACTTTCTTCATCATGAAGGGACGTGTTAGACCTATCTCCCACCTAAGAATTTAGTGAGATAAGTTAGGGAGAGTTTAGAGCCGCTTTTCAGCTTGGTCCAAACTGGCTATCATAGCCGCTATGACTTGCGGTCCTCGCTCGCGAGCGACAAGCTTTCCAGACCGTCGGCTCCTTATCACGTGGCAGTTCTGAAACAGACATCGACGGTTGCATGCGTAAAAGATTCTGGCGAAGATTCAGCTAGAACCGTTAACCGGCTTCTGGCAACCATTACCAAGCAGTGAGATCTAGGTATGGGATGCTAAATTGCAGTGCTAATGCCAAAATGGGGCTCGAAGCAGCAATGCAGTGCCCAGCAAAACATGGCAGCTCCTGAAACACAGGTCCATATCTGCCATCAAACCTCAAAACACTTTGCTCAGCTGGGCGCTTCACCACGTTGGCATGATCCTCAGAGGAACGGGATTGTGTTGATGTGATTTTATCTTTCAAAGTCTGCCCGGGTGTACACATACGTTATATTCACAAGAAGAGGCCACCATGAGTCGGACGGCTGCGGCGAGCGGCCGCAGCCTTGCACACGGGTTAGGAGCCCTGAGAGCTCAGAACAGGCTGCCAGTAACTGCCGGGGCCCCAGTCGGTCAGCCGCTTCGTGCGGCGTTCAGCAGTGCTCCCCTCTTGGACAGCATTCATCGACGCGCCCAGCATTCTGTTGTCAGCCACTTCTATGCGTTAAAACATAATAGTTTGTTGGGTGCTGGCCCGCATTGCGTGCAGAAGAAGCCTCCATTCGCGCAATCCATTTTCCAGAGAAGAGCTTATTCTAGCAGCAACTCGAATGTTGGTCATAAGCGCTCGGCGAAGTCGCCCATAAGGGCCGGGCAGAGCTCAGGAGCTGCGGCCCAATACTCCCCTTCGCCGCAATACTTGCAGCTGGCGCAAAACGTCGCAAAAAAACTAGGCGTGGCTCTGGTCGTCGCCGCCGCGATCGCGAGCGCTTCGCTCTTCTCCCTTCCGTGGGTACTTTCCACTCCGGCGGGCCTCAAAACCGCGACCGCTATTTACAGCGCCACCATCCCTGGCACCGTTTCTGTGGAGACTGCAAAACTAGAATGGAAGCAGCCCATACAAATCAGCGGTGTCAAAGTGAGCGACGAACAGGGAGCTGAGGTGCTGACTGTGAAGCAGATTGAAAGCGAGGCGAGTCTGTGGGGGATTGTGAGAGGGAAGCACGGCCTGGGGAATACTACCGTGCAGGGCTTCAGGGTGGATTTTGGTCGGGAAGAGACCGGGGGGGAGCCCCGGGCGCTGGCCGCACTGACAAAGCCACAGAATAATCGGAGGTGCAGTCGATCCTCTTCTTTCTTTTGTTTCGTGACCTTGAACGCACTCAAAGGTGTGGTCGTTGATCGAAGTCGTAAAGAAGGACCAGTTTGAGCCCCTTGACTGATTTTGCTTTCTCGTCCCACCACTTCTGACGTACATGGCATCAAAGAATGTTAGAGTCTGTGGCTATTGTAGTCAAATATAATTTTCCACGCTCACTTCAAGAATAAGTACAGGCACTTGGGTTCACTTACTGTTTCCTCGGCCTGAATTTATCCGAACCCCTTGCCAAGATATGCCCGCAGTCGGGGTTTTACCACATCTTGCATTGTACACATTTTGGAGGGCATTTTTGAATTGAGATTCACGCCCTTCCGTTTTCCCGTTTTGCTTCAGTTGTTGATTTGCCGCTGCTCTTATGCTCTTCGAAACCTCTTTTCGAAAGTGATTGGTAATTTACAACCCTCCCATGGTTCTCCGCTGCAGGTCCCCCCTGAGAACGCCCACCGAGACCCCCCTCCCCAAATCCGCGGACAAGGTGCCCGTCGAAGTGGAAATCAACATCGAGATGCCAGGGGGATCCCTCAATTTTCCCCACTCAATATTCACCGTCCCTTGGGACACGGCCGCCCTTACTGGCGACTCGGTGCAGATAGATATCGCGGCCGGTGATTTTGCAGCCAGGAGAGACCCGGAGGCTGCGGCGATTGCTTCCGGGGGGGTGGGGCCAGGCCCAAAAACGGGGGGGGTGTGCCGATTGTGGCGGCAGCAAGGTCGGAAAAGTTTAGGGGGGCGGTGGCGGGGGCGGTGGACGTGCGGGCGGGGAAGGTGCATCTGGCGAGGCCATTAGAGGCAGATATTGAAGTGAGTGACCAGAACCTTTTGATACTTCTTGGTTCTGCATGCGAAAATCGAGAATTTTGTTGGGGAAAAGGTAATGTGCTCGACTAGAACGGTGGGTTTGAACGGGGATGCGGTGCGAAGCACGTCACGTCGTGCTTCGAAAACTTCGCTATCGGTTATTGGCGGAGAGCCTCTTTGTCATCATTCGCAGATCGATTGCTGATAGAATATACTTACGCGCTGCATGTGGGAGAGCTTAATACTGAAGACGCCGCTCTAGATTGCCTGTATCGAGTCTATCCCAGCTGTTTACACGAGATTTTGCACGGCTCCATTCCCCTGTCAAACGTTCACAAGCCCAATGCCAGAGATCGTCGCCCAATACATGTCGCATCCTTCGCGAAAGCTCTTTGTGAAAGCACTTCCGAGATCTGGTCCAAAGAATCCAAGTCCTAACAAGATTCTACTCTGACCCGGCTCTAAACACCCCACTAACGCACGGTTTTGCAGATCAACCGGGCCACCGGGCAGCTGTTCCTGGCGCGCCTTAACCCGCTCCTGGCCGGGGTGGTGGGCACTCAAAACAGCGGACAGGTCCGGGTGTTTGCGAGCCCACAGGACATGGTGTTCCCTAGTGACCAGTACAGGTCAGCCCTCACCTGCATTTACTTCCTTGGCCTTCGGGTTTCGTATCCAAGAAAAGAGCGGCCTATCTCTGCCAGCAGATATCGGGTTGGCAGCTGTGAGACTGTTTTGGTTGGAGGGCGGAGGAACATACCGAGTTAGTCAATTGACCATGACTAACTCGGTATGTTCCTCCGCCCTCCAATTAAAATAGTCGGTGCACCCGGCTCGAAAGTATGACTAAGCCCTTTAGACCGGTGCGAGTCCAACTCACGGATGGTTATGCACACCCGAAAATCAGCGGTGGACTATCTAGTCCAGGCCTCAGCGGTGGACTATCTAGTCCAGGCCTCAGCCGCAAAATCGCGTGTGTAACATGTGTTGTGCACAGCTCGTCCGTGACGGTCCTCGACAATTTGACGTCAAGAGTTGCTGTCTTTGTGCAGCCGCGGTCTTACAAATCTGAAACCCGATCAACTTTTCTAATTGTCCTTCAGCGTAAGCATCCGCAATCGGGCGCACTAGTCCCTTGCCAAATAAGAGCCCGAGTCCTGCCTGCCCGTGGTTAAAGGGACTCCTTGCGGGACACGGTGCTCCTCCGAAATCTACGACCTTTTCTTTTTCTCCGCAGCTTGAAAGTCGATCCGATGACGTTGGTTCTCGGGCGGGGCGACCTGGTGAGCAACGCGCTCGAGTTCCTGGGCCAGAAGGGCCCCGGGAAAACGCTGACCATGCGGACGTCCGCGATCCGCGCCACGTGGAACGCCGCCGGACGGGTCGAGGCCGCCCGGACGGACGTCCAGATCGGCGGTAAGGCATCCCACCGGGCGACTCGTAAACGATCGAATTTTTGAAGCGAGCTCTCTATTTTTAAGATTTTTTGATGCAAGCTTGCCACGTGGGGAGCTGGATCGCGCTCGTGGCCCGACACGTGTCGAGTCTTGACTGGCTAGAAGTCAGGATCCGGATCGTTCAGTTGTTGGCCCTGATCGGGTGTGCCTGATGATAACAGCCCACAGGAAGCGAGCGGCTTCTTGATCTTCGAAGCTCAAGTTCAAGAACAGAAGGTTCCAATTTGCCCTTTGCAAGTTGAAGAGTACGCATCTTCGACTCTCGAGCCCTTAATTCTGAGCTCTTTCGTAAATACTTTGTCTGAGGTGTCCTTCCGAGCTTTTTTGGAGGTCTTCAGGACTTCAGCTGTTCGCACTCTCTGAGGGCCATCGCAAATGTGGGGTCATGCTCTATCAGTCTTCAACCGTCTCTCATGTCAGTATTATCCAGCTCGGACTTCGCAACAGCCTTTCCCGCATCTTACTCCGCGTTTTACCGACGTGACAAAAAAGCCTGACGTCGAACCAAACCTCAAAAGGCGCAGCATCCATATTTAAAACCTGCCTGGATTTCGAGCCGTCAAGCATCAGAAACCGCGAAATTTTCACTCCACCATGCTTCTGGCCCAAATCATGCTGAGCCCGAGCTTCTAAAGTCGCTCTGGTAACGATCTTTTCGGTTGATCTTAACCCCGTCGCCGTCTTCCAACTCTACTTCCGTCTCGTCGTTGCAGACAAGGTGCATCTGATCACGTGGGGCACGATGGACTGGGCGCAGGGCAACGTCGACATGGTTCTTGCGATTCCTGCGGACACGCTCAAGGTGCGTCCGAAAGCTTCACTCAATCCGCGAACTTGTCAACCAGTGTTTCCCACGGATATCCTGACTAACATGATCAACAAGGGTCAACGCAGAACTGCCATTTGCGTGCCTGTTGCGAATGTTTTGACTTTGGACCTGTTGAACGGTGCCGAAGTGATCAATCGTTGTCCGCACCTTGTAGTCCATGTCCAAAGTTGGCAACCGAATCTGTCTTCTTGGTGTTTCGAGCTATTGACCAGTGCCTGTCTTGAGAAACGAATAACAGAGTGCGAGATTCGTGTCAGACAATAGAAGGATTAAAATTCCCGGAAGAGGAAGGAAGTCGCCGAATTCTGTGCGTCGAACAGACTGTTGAAAAAGATCGATGGGAATCCAGTACGCCTTTTAAACACGTTTGACCATTTTTGACAGAACGTGAGGGTACCGAATCTCATGCATGAGCCTCCTTTAAGTCAGCCAGTCAAAACTCGCAGACCCCTCAGGAAGCGGTTAAATTGCAAACCTTTCCCCCTCGCAAGTTGCAGCTGCCAAGTGACCTTTATAATCTCGTTGTTTTACCCCCGGGCTTTGCGGCACCGGTCCGGAATATATTGTCGCCTACAATCCTTCTTTCGTTGATCAGATCAGCGGCTGTAAACACCAGAAAGTCGTCTTTCAACCCTTCAGGTTGCGTTGCGCGTGCCCTCCGTTGCCTCCGGTTACAACCTCCAGTTCCCCTTAACCGGGTCGGTCGAGCGGCCAACTCTGGATTGGAAGGCAGCCGGGAAGCAGCTGGCCAAGCTGGTGGTCCGGCAGAGGGCCCCTAACGGGTGGGCCGGGATATTGCTAACCGACCGGAACGACCACCGGGCACTCCCGGAGCCGCTGGACCCCATTCCCTGGGCAAAAAGCTGACGTCACTTCGGCAACGCCTTGGAAGTTTGAACGTCTCCTCCCTTGCTGTAGTACGCCGCGGAAGAAGACCGAAACCTTGTCGGACAAATCTGCATTGCGAACAGCACGAAAGGCAGATAGGATGAGTTGATACACGTATGCCATCGCCTGGATCAGGTCGATGTTTGCTTGGTTGCATGATGGGAATTTTAACGTACTGCTTTGGAGTGCTCGCCCGGCCAGCGTGCCAAGAATGAACATTAGAATTGACACAGGACTTGTACTCTGGCATTTTTTGCTAGCTTGAGGCACGGCGTATCTGGCGTCCGCGGTTAGAACAGCGATGCACGTTTGAACGAGCTCTCGATATTTTAGTTCTTCGTAGACGAGCTTTTTATCCTTTTTCTTCGAAAGTAATCTTGCGTGTTTCTTGCATGTTGATTCGGTCAACGTCTGTCCCGGCAGCAGTGACACCAGTCAGAATTCCAGGATGCTGTTAGGCTTAAGCACTTCGGAGGCGTTTCTGCATCAGGGCGAAGACGCTTGGCCCTACATTGCAATCTTATTGGCCATGATAGGTATGCAATCCTAGTTGTGGCAAGCGCGTTGAGCTAGCCGACAACCTAGCAACCTAAATGTCGCGGACCGCGGCTCTGTGCATATGCTCGGATGGTACGATCAACGTCTATATTCTCAATCCGCGCCGAGTCTTCATTCTGCACTGTTGAGACTGGTACGTCTCTGACGCTCGCATCCAAAACCTGAGTTTCAGTGAATTAAAACAAATGCCTGCAAACGGAGAGGCAAGGATCAAGAGTGAATGGGCAGATGGTCACGAACATAGATCGAGAGGGGGACTCGAAGAACAGGAGGAGGCCTTCGAGAGAGGGATAATATGCGGTCATGAGAAGGAAGGGGGGTGGAAATTAAAAGGGGAATTTTTTTGCGCAGATACATAAGGAGTCCTACTGTTGTGCAATGTGTACATGAATCTTTCAATCTTTAGCCTGACAACAAGGAAACTTGTCACGTACACTGTGACATGGAGAAAAAATCTTATTTCTTGCAGCCTTTAGTTGACTCGGATTGCAGTTGACTTCAATCGAGTTTAGCATGGATTTCTGAGCCGTTTGTCTCTAGCTCCATCGATTTCGGCTCCACTTTGCTACCAATGGAGCACAACATTTGTTTGTATATCGCGTAAAGCCTTCTGATTACATCATACCATCATACAAGTCGTTCTTTGTAAATCTGAGTTGGTATCCGAGTAGCAGATCTTAAAGAAGAAGCCCAATGTGTTCGAGAAAGAGAACACAGGATAAAGCGGAGCATGCAATGCTAGCGAGTCAAATTTCATGTATATATAACAACGTCTGAAACGTCGTGAGTTGCCGGACCCTAATCCCCTAAGGCTACGGAAAGGCTACAGCCTACGGGCTATCCCTAGTAGACTTTAACACCTATACGTTACCCGATCACCGGGCTTGTGACTGTGGACAGCTAGGCCCATGTGAACATCAAAAACATTGTCCCGGGGTATCAGAAAGTACGATGGCGCAAAACGAATGAGCACTGGCACCGGTACTACCGGTACTACCGGTACTGCTTGGATGCTTGCATGCAAGCTGCGGCGTTGGCGTCAAGTTTTATCCGACGGCACAGCTACTAGCTCCTAGAGCTCTCGAACCTCGAGGATGTCAGTATTCCACTTCACGCGTACGCGAACCGCGATGGTCTCTTTTCGTACTCGCCGTAGCCAAAGTGGCCATAGGCTTCTCGCGATCACAGCTTCCACAATGTCATGCCATTTATAACCGGTCCGACTTCTTGCATAATAACCCCGAAACTTGACCAAGCGCTTTCTTTGCTCATAATCTAGCAAAAGGCTTTCAAAGGAAGCCATTTTTCGCCTTACTGCTTTTCAATGTTGAAAACGTGTGGAGAATTGACGACGCTAGGGCGACGCTGTCATTGCCAAACGCCAAACCCCACAACGTGTGGTTGCGACTGCTCGATGATCACGTGGCAGTGCAAGATGTGGGACCGGATATAATCGGCATGAGAATACGGGCACTCCGTTCGACGTACGACGCTTCTAAAACCCGCCCCTCGAGAACGCAACGACTGCAATGTGCATCGTATCGAAAAGCTGAGCCGTCGCGGTCAAGGGATTACCTACTACGGTAGTCTACGCATCTACCGCATCTGATGCGGGAGCTCAGCCAGGCGCATGCCAGGCTGGCATGCGCAAGAATCTTCCTTCAACCGTCCAATCAACATTTTGGCGGCAAGGAAGGGCAGGCTGCTGCGCGCACAAAAGCACCGAGCCGGATCCCCGGCCGTATTAGGGGCTCATTTTCCGCCCGGCTGCTGGGAGCCCCGCTCCTACCTCCTCCTCCCTAAACCGGTAACAATCACTCTTTTAGCGACCGGGCTTAGAGATCTCCGATACTGTCCTCGGTGCCCGGGCGTAATGCACATGTCTGCTCGCGCACAAATGCAGCAGCTAGGTTGTGCGGGATCCCCCGCAGGATGTCGACAGTCGAGGCCCAACACTGAAAACGTAACCCTAAAACCACCTGCTCCGCACCCGTACCCACCTAAACCCCCAAACTAACCCCACCCGTTCCCGGGTGGTTAGCTTATTATACCTGGCCCTAATAGCCTAAGGCTAACACCCGGTTTGCCACAAATTTGTGTGATCCCCCCGCAAGTTCTGCGAAGGCGGCATGGATCAGCTGAGAAACAAAAGCTAGCGACATTTCAACATCTGCAACCGTACCTAACACTGGCGCCAGGAGCCAACGAGCATTTGACGCGCTCCAGTCACAAGGCCCGCAGCACACGGAGAAACGAGAGCGCGGAAACAGGCAGCTACCAAGAGGCGGACTCGGCAATTGGGGACGTTGTCAAGCGGCATGGCAGACCTGTGCGTCGCCTACTGAGAGGTGAGAGTGCTCATTGAGCTCAGCATAGAAAGAATCACCAGGGTCTGTCTGGGTTGTACTGTCAGATCTCCGAGAGCATCTCGGTTGCAGCTGAGCCCGTCGTGACTGGCCAAGCTCACTAGACTGGCAGCTGTTCCTAAGCTGCTGCTACTCTTGTCTCACCTTGGCACAGAGGCTTGCTGTAAACTGGGGCTGGATTGATGCGTTCTGAAGGGCTGGCCATGCATTCTTGACATAGGCCCTGCTGATGATTGGTGTCGAAAAGACATATGGGCGCATCCACTTATTGAACAAAAACTCCTCCATTTACCCTGCAAAGAAAGATCGTGGATTAGTTTTGGCACAATTTGTGGTGCGTTTGTTCAAAAAAATAAAGTATCGAATGGTCTTTACGCCAGTCTTAGCTCAGCCAGGCTTAGTAAGTGAGCGGGAAGTGAGCCTAGCCCAATTCATGCACCTATCAGCTATTGACGCTGTAAATGGGTGCCTGGTGTCCTTTTCTGGGGAGAGGAAGTAAAGCATAGGAAAGTCTATCTTCCACGTAATATGGCCCTACAGTGCTGGCTGGTTCTCCAGCTTCTTTGTGCTCAGTGAAAAGCTCTGATGGTCAAGCTACCTCTTCAGTGCCAGCGCGTCTGGACCTAGAAGTCTACACGATGGTGCATTGAATTCAAGGATGATAGTGAGAGGGGATTCGAAAACAGGGTTCAACTATTGCATGCAGGATTTGAGATGCAGGTTTCTGAGTCAAGCAACAACCAGGTCCTCATGATTGTCCAGAAAACAAGGCTTGTAAATCTCCGGTGAACAGGCTGAACAACAAAAACGTTTTCTGTTGACGGGTTTCAGTCAGGGCTTTTCTCAAACTTGTTCTCCCCTTCAATCCTGCAGATTCGGCAAAGAGTCCAACGAGCTATCTAGTACTGCTTAGTACCCAGTGTGAAGATGGCCGGCTGCGTGACCCGCATTTTCCTCACAGCCTGTGGCGTTCCAGCACCTTTAGCTCGGGCAGCAGGAGTGTGCGTCTCTATCGCGACTCTTGATGTCGCAAGCTTGGCTATAGACGGGGCAGACATTGTTGTCGCTGCGGCGGACGTTGTTGGAGTCGGGGCAGACACTGCGGATGCCAGCTTTTGTCCTGGAGCAAACAGTCCGGGGTACGGTGGAGCGACGGTCATTGTCCCTCAAGACACAGCGTACAGCTGTTCTGTTCCCCAAGGGGCACAGTACTGTCCTGAACCCCTTAGCACAGGGTACTGCCCGCCTCCGCCGGCGACAGTGTACTGTCCTGACTATTCGGACCAGGGGGGCAACCAGTATCTCGCCCCGCAGGACTCTTTCCCCCCGGAGACCCAGCTCGGGCCCGCGCTAGGCGACATCCCCTGGGGGCAGGTGGCGGACACTTTGGGCCATGTTCTGCGCCCCCCTCGTGCGACCCCCGCGACCCCTCATTTCGACCCCCAAGGGAGAAGGTACTATTTTGACTCCCAAGGGAGAAGGTACTTCTTGGATTATCAGGGGAGAAGGTGCTATTTGACCCCGCAGGGGAGAGAGTACTTTTTAGACCACCAAGGGAGACCGTACTATCTGGACCCCCAAGGGTTTAGAACCTATGATTTCTATATGGACCGCCAAGGAAGAGTATATTATGTGGACCCCGAAGAAAGAGTGCACTTTTTCGAAACCCAAGGGAGACCATGCTATTTGGACAGCCAGGGGAGAGCATACTATCGGGACTCCCTAGGGTGGGAGTTCGGTTTGGACCCCCATGGGAGACCGTACTATTTGTAAGGAAACGCGCATGTCGACCCAGTTGTATTATGTAGATGTAGATGTACATAATTGTAGGTCGATTTATGTAGATAGCCGAGATAGCCGAGTATTGAAAGATAGGATTCTGAACACGGAACAGATTGACATTGGTTTCCTCAGTCTTATCATGAGGCTTTTTGGGGGTAAAGATAAGTATGATCATAATTGAATAAGATAAGGATAAGTGTTACCTCGATACTGTGTTACCGCCAATTTTCGTATAATGATGAAGTCCTCACTCAGTCGATCATTCATGCCGCATGTATTTTTGCCTTTTCAAAGTTAGTATATGAGGACAGCGCTAGCATTAAAACGATATGATTTGCAAAATTACGGATTTAACCATATATTTCGTCGTGATCAGACAGCCGCAATCCCAACGTCTCGATCAGTCTACTAAGCTCTGCAGTCTATAGCTTAACATGATTAGAATTAGGCCTCCATGCCAACGAAACGCTTCCGACAATGACTGTAATTTCAGCTTCTTGGGCAATATGATTGAACGACCTTCAAGCTAGATCAAAGGCTGACTTGGATCAGCAAATATATATACCGAATCTGCCTTGAAAACTGGCGACGGTTAGCCGACGGTCATGTGGAACTTGACTCGGAGATTCCGCGGCCGACCGTCGTGCATCCGCAATGATTTACCTAAAGAGTAATCTAAAACCTCAAAGCTGATATCCGGACGACTTTGCAATGATATTATTTTTTGGTTTGTTTGGTCCTATATCATTTTCGTACGTCACATGTATGGACCTGCCAAACAGACGGTTGCAAAATCCTGAGGGTTGAGCAGGTGCGACCGCGTCAATGACTCACGCCTACCAACATGTAGGCTCGCGACATGTGGTCACATCAGCGACGGTTCTGATCCGGCCACCGGAAAAACGGCATGACTTCCAGATGACTAGACAGGTAGTATTTGAATTCGACACGTCATCTTGGGACTGGATGGACCTTCAGAGCCATCCCAAACTGTTAGTCTACACAACCGCTGCTTTACAACTAACCAGCCCAACCTGCTCAGAAGCAAATGTTATGTCAACCAGCTTTTCCCTCCAGAACGAGGGTCCAGAGTCAGTACTCGGTACACCATTTATCAACCGCCAAAATAAAATCGGACTAATCAACAGGCACTTCCGACAAACGCAAGCTACGACAGGCGTGCACACACAAACTCAGTCCTCGATGTGCCGCTTCTCGTACATCCCCGTCAGCTGATCGGCGACCGCCCACATGATCGCCTGCCCGGGGGGTATTCTCATCAACCGGGGGAGCAGCCCCCGCCAGAGCGCCAACACGCCCTCCTCGCTCGCGATCTTTCCGATCGCGTGGAAGAGGCCCCGGTACCGGGGCTCTACCCCGGGCACGTGTTCCTGTGCCATTAGCCGCGTTTTCACCACGTCGAAGGGCCCGGTTGCAATAGGACCGGCCACCCCGGCGAGAAAGCCGGCAGTCATGGACTGCCAGGGGGCAAGGATCTGTCCGTCGCCCTCCCTTTTATCGAATGCGTACTGCACGGCGACAGGAAACGGAAAGGCTTAAGGTTCAAGTTTATGTCAAGAGAAGAAAGAAAAGGTCAAAGAAAGGTCAGGAGAAAGGGTGCGAACTACGGAATTATCTTGCATCGTCGCCCTCCCGTTTATGCATATAGCAGGGTGGAAGGATTAGGCAGAGTAGATTAGGTGGTCTAGAGTGGGAGAAAGGAAGTGAGAGCTGGGACGGTATGAACGTTGGGTATTTGGCCGTTGCCCTCACATTTGAAGAATGCATAAAGCATGGGAAAGTGGGGCGGGGGATGAGAAAAGAAGGATAATCACCTGGCTCAGACGAGTTGGGAAAAACAGACCAGAAAGTGAGGGACTTCACTAGGTGTTGGGAAGCGCAAAGTCAAGACAGGAAAAGCTGGCAGAGTTGTGGACTTCGATACATCAGGTGGATTAGAGGACTTCGATACGTCAGGCAATCTAGAAAAGCGGCTGTTGGGATGAATGAGATAAGAGAGGACCTGGGTCGACGGCAAATGATAACAAGGGTGAGGAGCGAAGTTAGATGAACAGAAACGGATTCCTTAGGACAAAGGCCGGATCGGCGCGGAATCTGCCAATGAAGACAGAGCACACAAAACAAAGATCACCAGGCAATATTTTCAGGAGCGAAACCGATAGAGACTCAGATCGGTCACACTTTGAGCAAGAAGCTTTCGAAGCCAAGGGTGAACGAAGAACGTTTCTACGAAGGGTCTATGAGGAAACACCGAGAGAATGTCAGACAAATGGGTCTTCTTCAGGAGAGTCAGGTCAAGTCGAATGGTTGACACAACACACAAGCTCCTGAATGTATCCAAAAATAATCGGAAAGGAGCGGAAAGTATTTCCACTGCTCTTTCAACAGCTGAAAGAGCTGCTGCTTCGTCTCAACCGAGCCTTGCAGCAAAGGCAAGCCGAATCTGACGAAAAACAAACATCCGCAGTTCGTCACAGAACAGGAAAGACCCCATTCCGAGAACTGGGAAAAGGAAAGTTGAGGGAAGGAATGGGGGGAAAAGAAGACGTTGAGGGAAGGAAATTGGAGGAATTTATAAAGCTCCAGGCAGTGCTTCCTTCTCGCAACACAGAATTGCGCCTTTTAATCCGTGTTACACATCAATTCAAGTCCGACATCAGCCGCAAATCAATTGAGCAACGGCTAAGATAACACCAACGGCCATGCCTAGCTCCAAAACTAACGGAAGAAGCCGCAAATTTGTTTGAAGGGCTACGAAACGGCCGTAATCCAGAGCGTCACCCCCGATGGCCGGTTTTACATCTATGAACAACCCAGCCGCAGGTTTACTTAAGGGGGCCAGGACTCACTTTATCAATGGCGGCCTTAGCTGCAAACATAACCGCCTGGTTCGTTCCGTTGCGCATGACAGTCGGCGTAGCCCCGCTCCAAAGCCCCCGCAGGCCCTCCTCTTTCACGATCGTCACCGCGCCGTGCACCGGCCCCTTATACCGCAATAACTCCTTCGTTAACCCCTGCTGCTGCTGTAACCGGATCTTAACCACCTCGAACGGGGTCACGATAACCAACGCCTCCGTGACCCCCGCCCCGAACCCCGCCGCCATCCGCCGCGCGCTCGACAACTCCCCCGTTTCCACGTCCCGCAACGCCGCCGAAAACACCGCATTCGTCCCCATTCTGAGCGCATATTTCAGGGTTAAGTGCGTCGCAAACGGGGTTAGCCCCTTCCAGAGCGCCCTGGCCCCCTCCTCCTTGACTATCGTCGACCCGCACTGCCAGATCCCCGTGTATTTGCCTGCCCGATCGAGCTGCAACCGGGTCTTGATGACGTCAATCGGTTGTAAGCAAGCGGCCTCGACTACCCCCCCTAGGGACCCCGAGGCCGCTTTCACCCAGGGGGGGCTCCTCCGCCGTTCCCGCTTCCGCGCCTCATCGAAATCGATCGCCGGGGTCGGCATCCCGGCGCGATCCGAAAGTTGCTCCGATTTCAATCGCAACTCTTGCAAGGCGGTTGTCACCTTGTTGAATTGAAAGGTCGAGTTGCCAGTCAATCAGCAAGGCTTGGGCGTGGCGGAGCCGGCTAACCTGGGGTTAAATCCAGGCGCCACCTTCCAATCCCCTGAAATCACCCTTCGATGTTGACTGGTCGTCACCCCAGCCTAGCCAAGAGCAACTTAAAGCTAGGTTCGAAGAAACACGTTTGCACCTCGTTTGGGGACTGCTTAAGAAGGGAAGAGGTTCTGACGTGCTTTGCACCGCGAGCCAGACCCCTCCGCTAAGCCCTAGCCTTGCCGTTGCTTTAACTGTCCTGGGGGAAGAAGAGGGGGACATAGATCAGCCAGCAGTCACTTCATGTATCAAATGAGACTGAATTGAAAGAGTTCTCTACACTTTCTGACCTGGACGTGCGCTCTGTTCTAAAAGTGTGGTCATTGGCCTGCGGAGTGCCTTTCCTAGACAAGTGATACAGAGGCCTAGACAAGTGATACAGAGGGCGAAACCAGCAATAAGTGATGCAAGCAAAAGAGGCCCCTTTAGCAAACCAGCATAGAAATCAACAGAAAACTCAGCCCTTTTTTAACAGGTTCATTGGAGCAATCCTGTAGAGAAGACGCACAACACTGACGGGAGGAGGGAAGTGAGTCAGGACGCTTCTCCAAATATAACCACGGAGATCACCAATAATAAGACTGCTGCAACAAAGTCCGGGCGAAAAAGTGCAATCAGTGCATCGAACATGATGGCAGGGCGCCAATCATCCTGAAATTGAACAAAGCAAAGACAAGACCTTTGCTTACTGAACTGGTTCTAGGGCTCCAGGGTGCTTAGCACTCCCGCTTTGCTAGATCTTTGGAAGAATCCCTAATCTGCTAACTCCTCACCAATGGTTACTAATGCTCAGCGACGATTAAAACTCCTGCCTTCTTTTCGAAAAAAATCTACTGAACAAAAACGCAATGGCGCGGCCCTGATTGAAGCAGAAAGTTAGACCCTTACCTGAACAATGTCAGAATATGAATGAACACTTCTTCTTTGAACCCCAATGGCTACCTCGGTGAATACTCAGAAGATTTTTAAAGGAATCTCAGGGCATGAGACCGCTGGTTTGAATTTGATGCGCCTTTCGCAAGCCCGCCACTGTCTGTCAAAGAGCCCCGCCTGACAACAGCAAGAGCAGGCGCCACGGATGCCAAACCTATCAGATAGGCGTCCTTTGAAACCCTCGACCGCTACCTAAAAGAGATTCTTAAAGTTTGCCTTTTCCATGGAATGCCATCCTGATTCCTTGATGCCTCGAACATGGCCTTCTCAGTTTCTGCCAATGCTGGAAGTCAGGTGACTGACAGGGTGGCGAACTCGTCCAGTCACACCACCAGTCGCACGTCCTCGTATACTCCGACTGACAGCCAATACGAGCCCTTACAACACTGTTTTCAGACGCTTCCCAATCGCTTCCTGCCGGTCTTTAACCTTCTTAGCGTTAGTTTTTGCGGATATTAAAGGAAAGGTAAGACCATATAAGACTTACCGTTCTTACCGTTACCACCAGATACGGGCGTCAATCATGCCCGCGTATTACCCTACGGCTCCCGTAGTTGCTCTGGAATATGTCTACATTAGAGCAAGATATATATTGTGAATATTTGATAAAACCTAGCTTCAAAGGGCAACGCAAGGCAATCCATTTCAAGATCACTGGCTCATGGCATTGCGTTCCTTGAACTTGAACATTGAAGTCGCCCTCATCACATTCGTGGGAGATTGCTGGTCGCAGCCGTAGACCCACTTCCAACAATATGGCGACCACTTCTGACGCTCGTGCGCCGCTCCTCCCCCAGAATGCGGAGGCGACCACAATCGTAGTCAGAGAGCCAGAAAGTGAAGACGCAGCGTCTGAAACACGGCCGGCAAACGAGTCATGGGGGGGCACTGCATCCATCAAGAGCGCCTCATTCAACATGACGAACACGATGCTCGGCGCCGGTATAATGGCGCTGCCCTACGCTATGAAGACCATGGTCAGTGCGCTTTGCATTTTGTGGTGGTAGCAACTGTGCTGGGGCTGCGAGGTGGAGGCTTCGATTCCACTTCTGTGTTCAGAAGTTTCGCATGATCTGACTTTCTGTGCGAGAGCGATGCTGCTGAGCGAGGTCGGCCCAGTGGTTGTGTGCCCTGTTGAATGTTGAGTGCTAGGAGGCTTGGAGAATAAAATCTCGTTGCAGCAGTTCCTGAAGAGCAATCACAGCGGGCTCCTTATTAAGAGCCCTTAAATATGCTACAACCTGTACCACTCCGACAAGGTCAAATGTGTGGGGTGTAAAAGCTCAAGGGCTTCTAGATATTGCTTTCACAAAACTTCACCCTTTTGTTGGAGGTTCACCCCCAATCCACATTAGCATGAAGGATAGATGCAGAGCGCCTCATGTAATTGAGCAAGGTCCTTTTTGGGCCATGTTCCGGAGTCTTCAGATGGACCATACCTGAGCTTTGTCTGTGGGGCTCGTTTTCTAGTACGTGCACTTTCCTGTTAACAGGTGGATAACCTTTTGTCGGCCATAATAAGGAAGACTTTCATCAAAGCACACTGCGAGCACTCTTTAGAAATATTCTACACTGTGTCGTGCAAGTCAAGTATCTCCACCCCCCCGATCTCATCACAATCGTCAAGCTGAGGACTTTCTGTGCCCAGCAATCCGCGCCAGGTTGTATATCTTCTGAGCGCCCTTCCTTCTTTGCAGGGCGTGTCACACATTTTGACAAGTATGCACAAATTCTCTACTTGTTTACTGGTCTCAGTCAGGAACTTTTGTGACTGTATGCCGAACTTTATGACCAGACCCTTAACTAGGACAGAACTCTTGACCTAAAAGGTGTGACTTAAGAAGGTATGACTTGATTCTTTTTTAATCTGCAGGGCATTCTGATGGGGACACTTGCCCTTTTCGGAATCACCATCCTGACGCGGTCAAGTCTACGGGGCATGCTCCGGTGCATGGAAGTCAGCCGGCAGTACACCTACTCGAACCTCGTCTACAGCGCGCTCGGAAACGGGGGCAGAAACCTACTCCGCTTTGCGATAGTCATCAACAATTTTGGGCTCCTCATTGCGTACCTTATTATCACAGGTAGGAGCCACCAGCTCGTTGGCCTTGTCTTCTAAAGAGATGCAGAAAGTTTCAGAGACCCTGGATTGTGTGAATGATAACGAATCTTGGACATCCGTTCTTTGCCGTTGAATGGTCGAGTTGCTCCATAGATGGCGCATCGTCGTCCCAGGTCTTTCACAAAGGCCAAGCTTATCTTGTAACTCAACTGCTAAGAAACGAATTCATCTCGAGCTCGGTGCTGCCCACTTCCCTTAATCATTGGACCTTTCAGACTGTCTCTTGAAAGTCCTTTCAAACCCATTGATTCACCCCTCATATGTTACTGATCAGATGATTCTCAAAATTTGCCGTTTCGTCTCTGGCCACCTCACCTCCGACGAGTGCTTAACCTGGTACGCAACCAACGAGGCTGCTCAATGAAGAACGGAATACTTAGAGAACCATTCAATGGCTTTGCAGGGGACGTGTTATGCGGGTCGCACGATGGGCTGCACACCGGACTGATCGACGAGTGGTTTGGGGACCGGCACGTCTGGTACACGTCGCGCAAGTTCGTGGTCAGCGTGATCGTTGTGGGGCTGCTCCTGCCGCTCTCGTCCTTCCGTCGTATGGGTGAGTGGAAACATATGGGCGCTCAGTGTTATCTCTTTTATGGACCTGCTTTCGAGCTTCTAAAAAGGTGTCTTTTTCCCGCTTCAAACGGGGTAGCACGGTGGTAACCGTCTGATCGGACTTGAATAGATTGACCGTTCAAACCTGTCCTCCTGATGAAGGACCGCTTGTATTGAGCGAGCCTGCGAGGTGCTTGGGCTTCTCTTTACCCTATCTTCCCGGAGCTTGGTTGATTCTTTCTTCTTGACGAAGACTCGGTTCCTTTGACCTTGCGGCTTGTTTTGATACCACAGAAGCTGCTTCTGCCATACTGGATCCAGCACTAATGTCCCTCGAAGGCTCAAGACGGTCGCAATTTGCCATTCAGCTATTAATTAGTAAAGGGTTTTGAGGGTGATAGGAAACGGCGAGGTTGCTCTGTTTGGCCACGCTCGCACTTTTAGCATTGTCCTCGACGGTCTGCCTGTCGGGTGCCAAAGCCTACCCTTCGGCTTCCTCCCAAACTTTTTCTACACTTTCCACTGCCCATCGCGAAGCGCCCTGTCGGGTCCTTCTTGCGGTTTAGCATTTTGTAACACCGTCTACATTGCAGAGATTTAAAGTCATCCCCGCATTTCTTTAAGGACCTCAAGCCTTACATATCCATCCTACAAGACGTAATTTAGGGCAGTATGTACGACCGTCTACCTGGATCAATCGAAACCCCCCTCCCGTTTTTTTTTTTGAAGTTTTCTGACCCTTCCATCCTTTCTCTCACCACCCGCGGATGCGCTGAGCTTCACGAGCGCCCTCTGGTGACATTCGCACTCCCAGCTGTCTGCACGAGTGTCTACCCGTGGAGTTGGGAGTCTACCTTCCTTCTCTCAAATGCTTTTCCGGCCGTCCAATCCTGTGCTTCCACCGTCCCGCTGGCGCTCCTGGACGACCTGGATTCATGAGAACCCTGACGTTCTCATAGCTAAAGGTTTTCCAACCCTCTGATTCGTTCTTCCTACCTTCCCGCAGATGCGCTTAGCTTCACGAGCGCTCTCTCGACCACGTTCGTGCTCCTGGCCGTGTGCACGACCGTCTATTTCCATTTTTGAATTGCTGCCTTCCTCATCTCCACTTTTTCTGACCGCCCAAAAGTCTCTTTCTGTCCGATCCTGTCCTTCTATCCTGCGCCAGATGCGCTTAAGTTTGCGAGCGCGCTGTCGGTCACGCTCGCGCTCCTGGCCGTGTACACAACCGTCCATCTGAAGGTTCAAAAGTCTACCTTTCTTATTTTAGAAAACCTCCGATCGTCTGAAATGCTTTTTCAATCTTCTTCGAAGATGCACTCTGCTTTACAAGCGCTCTCTCAGTAACACTTACACTCCCAACGGTTTGCACGACCGTTTACCTCAAGTATCCGAAAATCTCCTTCCTCCTTGCCAAGATATTTTACCGTCCAGATTATCTCTTTTGTCTGATCCTGTCCTTCTATCTTGCCGCAGATGCGCTTAGCTTTACGAGCGCGCTGTCGGTCACACTTGCGCTCCTGACGGTATGTACGACCCTCTACGTGGCAGGGGTCAGAATTAAGTGGGAAGTGGCCTCCTTTTTCTTCGAACTATTCCGACCGTCCGATCCGCTATTTTCTACCTTCTCGCAGATGCGCTCAGCTTTACGAGCGCTCTCTCGGTCACACTCGCGCTCCTGGCGGTGTGCACGACCGTCTACCTGGCAGGGGTCAGAGTTTACCAGGGCCAAGCCACGATGCCCCGCTGGCTGCCCGAGGGGACGGGTCTATTCACATTCTTCTCCATCCTTCCCGTTGTGGCTAACGCGTTTATCTGCCACTACAATGGTGAGAAACGGCGCCGTTCTCAGTGTCACAATGCGTCAGAAGCGGTTGTGACTCTAGCCGATTTTGCTTCACTCGTACTCCCAAGCTTTTGCTTTTCCTGGTTGCTCTCCCGCTTCGTAGTTGCCGCAGGCAGTTCGCATTTTCACCCATCTAAGACCCCCACGGAGAAGGGTTCATCGTGGCATAGTATTGCGGTTTTCAACCTTTGTTGTGCTGCCGCCTGATACTCTCGAGTTACTTCGCTTAGCCAACAAGCCGTCATTCGGGCCCCGTTTCTCGTATATCGCTGCCTCCGTGTTGCCGAGAAGCTCTGCCAACGCCTGAATTGAGAAACTCGATGCAGCAATCAGCGAGGCCAATAGTGAATTCTCTCGTTCTGCTCTTGAGCCGGCGGATCTCTTCCAACCTGCCAATCATTACATTTTGAAAAACGTCGTTAGGAAAAGTGGACCCATCATCTTCTTCCTCTCGCTTTTGAGTCCGCCTTTTGACTGTCGCAGAGTCAACCGCAAGTCTTGTCGTTTACCTCGCTCTCTACTCACGTCTTCTTTATGCTGGCTACTTCAGACGTCCAGGAAAACGAGCGCATCGAGCTTCCAGACTCCGTGGTCCGGCATTGTTCTTCCGTTTCTTGTTTTGACCTTTGCCCTATCCTCCCGCAGTCTTTCCCATCTACCGCGAGCTGCGGTCGCCGTCCAAGGAGAAGATGCGCGTCGTCGTGACCAACTCCGTCTACGTCGTTGGCTTCTCCTACGTCCTCTTTTCCTGCGCTGCGTACACGCTGTTCGGCGATGCGACGTCTACCGACATCCTCCAAAACTTCGACCGCGACATCTCGAAGATCATCCACCACGTGGTTATCCTAACCAGCGCGGTTAGGCTGGGTTACGTGGTCACGCTCGTGCTGACCTTCCCGCTCATTGTGTTCGCGGTGCGTAATATCCTTGACGCGGTCATTTTCGGCGAAACGAACCGCTTCGAGCATGTCCGGTTTATCGTTCTTACGTGTGGCATATTGGCTTTTGCTGTGTTTGGGTCGATAATGGTGCCCAACATTTGGGTCGCCTTCCAATTCACGGGGTCCACCGCGGCCGTTATCATAGGGTTTATTCTGCCCGGTCTAGTTGCTTTGAGAACGGATGGGGCCGTCACGAGGGTGTCGCACAACAGGTCGGCCTGGTCGCTGCTTGCCGTTGGGGCGACGGTGTCAATCCTAGGGGTAGCTACGAACATCTGGGGTGTATACCAGAAAGGAAAGGGTAGCAATTGACTGTTCTACAGCGGACAGAGTCACTTTAGAGATGAGATCACGAATTTAGCCAGCGGGCCTGCTTTAAGATTTCAGTTCCTAGATGTTGTAAATTTTGATGGTGTTCAATTCTTTGTAATTTACGTCCTCTGGTCTTCAAGAATTAGGATTGGACGGTCGGCAGGAGTTTTCTATTTGTTTGTGAAGTACTCCTGAGGAGATCGTGCTGTCACGAAGGTTTTGCCTTAATCGCGGACAAGGGTATTTTGCATAGGAGAGCCACGACAACTCATTAAAATGCACAAGTTGCTCGCTTTTGTTAATGATTGTTCAGGCCGGATTTACAAGCTCCTGCAGTCGTGCTCGAAGCAAGTGTGTGCATCAGATTCTGTCAAATGAATTGGCTCACTTATATGTTTATCGCGATTAATCAATATATATGAGCTGATTGACATTGCGGCTGAGAATGCTCTTTCGACGTCATGAACACCCCGTTTAAAAGCGCTCGCATGATTATCCGATTAATGAGTAGGGCTACCTCTCAGTACCATACCTGTCTGCTTGGAAACGCCGTCACGTGCATCCCTCACATGCATGCGTGTTAGTAAGCTACTAACACAACATGCACTTTCTGGCATCCATTGTAGCTCATGCAGTGTACGTACAACTTAAGCCGCGACTTATGAACTCATGGCTTGATTCCTAAGGATTTCTCGCGGGGAAAGAGCGTATGTAGTGATGCGCGCGGTGGCGCATGAGCGGGGGCTCTGCGTTTTGATGCGCCGCCATGCACCAAGATTAATCCAATGGCACACTGCGTGAAAGCTCTGATGCTTTGCACGTCTCGCTTTCAAGTTATATTGGGCTATGGCCAATGATTGGATGATGGATTGAAGATGGACAAGAGTCCTTCACATTTTGAATTTTGTTATAGATTTGAACAACTTCGAATGTACCGTACTACCAAGGTATGATGTTCTCTTTTCAAAACGCCATAGGGCATCGTGTCAGAACACATGTGCAAGGGCGTCCGGAACTCCGGAAATTGGCCCTCGTGGGGGGGGGGCTGGAGGCCGGTGGGGGCAACATCTAGGGGCAACATTTACCCCTAGTTAAATCTGGGCATTCTGAGGAGGAGGGGGGGCTGGTGGCCGGTTTTATTTTCGGAGTTCCGGACGCGACTGCAGAAATGTTTTGACACGATGCCTAGCCACATGGGCCATAGGCTTCCATGGCATACATGGGACTTGATGTTTGAGGTTCGAACGCCTAACTACCCTACCAATCTCAAAGGGGCTACGTTAGTCCAAACCTAGCTCCTAGCAGCAGCTTTTCCGTGGTCTCATGAGAAACCTGCGCTAGCGAGATTGCTACACTGTCGGGCTACCATATTGGCTAGCAGATTATTGGAACTAGGGAACGTGAAAAAATGTGAAACCTGGGTCATGCGTTGCGCGTGCGAGAATTCCGGTAAGGTCCCATCAACAACCTCAATTTCACTCAGGGATGTAGGCGACAAGTAGCTAGCGGAATCACGGTTGCTTTGACTAGCACGCCACTGGCAAGTTCAGTTGTAATCCGGTAAGCTGTTGTTAGACTAGGTTCGGTGACTAATTCAGTGTACGCACTTTGATTTGGTTAGGTAGCTGGACGTTCAAGACCCAAACAATTCCCATGTATGCCATGGAAGCCTATGGCCCATGTGGCTACGGCGTTTGAAAAGAGAACATGTACAAGGTACAGTCTGTTACACGTAGTGGGAGTACAAGCTGTGCCAATCATTGGCACCGCAAAGTCGGTGAGTTTCCAATCCATGTTTTGTCCCGGTCGATGGGCTACCTTGCGCCAGAGGCCCGGTGTCTAATCTGCCGAGATTGTGGGTATTATAAAATTTCCGCTCAAATTCACGTGCCCAAATTCAAGACTTCCGGTCTGAACTTCTTCGTGTACACCCACAAATCCATTTGAGATCTATGTACCCAGGCTCAATTACTAAAAGAATCAAGAAAATCGTCAAGAACAGACGAATCGATGGTCCGCAATTTGAGTTTGCTGACATCCGCACCATCCAACGGCCCACATCCAAAAACAACTATTAACCTCAGATTTTACAGCCCGAAGGGTGTATCCATAGGATTTTTTCTAACTAGGATATGTCTAACTAGCGGGCGTCGACTTTTGGTAGGGATGTAGACCGCAAATAGGTCCATGAGCAATGATTCCGTAAATAAATAATTATTTGCATTCGGAAAGTTGGAAACTCCAAAGAAGCATTCGGAATCTGCTTTTTCGGAAACGGAAATTGATTGAAACGGAAACGGAAAGTGATCTCATAGCTAGATCGCAACACGGCCCGCCGCGTGAGGACATAGTCCTTCCCCACTTGGGGACCGCTCTGCGGACAGGGTACCGGTCCTCCATTTCCGATCCTCGCTTCTGACCTGTGGACCCCCTGTTGCGGCACTATCCCCATACCCACCGGGTATGTACCGGATACATAGGTTCGGCATGTAAGGCAACGTAGTACCAGCTTTAGCAAATACCCTATGCAATCACTTGGTCTGGCCTCGTCGCTTATCGACACTGCAGCCGCTTATAAGTTTAATGACAGCTCAGCACAGTACGTGGCAGGCCGGCCGCCGCATGAGCTGGCTGCCTAGAAATGCGGAATTTAGCTCCGAGCACTCGCACGAGGCAAAATGTCTTCCTTCATACTCATACTTCAGATGGAACACGTCCCGGTACGCGTGCCGATCGGGATCGGCGAGATAAATGGACAACACTTGCACCGTCAGATGCAAGCTTTGTGAGTCATCGACGGCAGTCTGGTGGCAGCAAATCGTGCAACTCAGTGACAATAGCTAGACTTATATAGACTCGGAGACTAGCAGTCTTGCAGGCTCCCAGCTTCCAGGCTCCAGCCTGCCTTTTACTGCTTTCAGCCTTGCCGGAACAATTCGCCCTTGTCGTTCATACATGATGATCGACGACACCATTGAACTAAGTACAGAATGATTGTACTTGAGCCCGCGGGTTCATTCTGGCATGCCAATTTTAGTACTATAGCTACACCAAACTTACAAATTGAGCATGTATTTCATGCATGCTTTCCGAGTGAGGTGAATGTAATTTTTCTCTCGTTTCACTTGCGGTCTAGATTCAGGCCCGACGCGACTCAGCCTGTACATATATTGCACGACATAAAATGTACATGCATCAAGTGGTTTAATGTATTATGTATCGCTAGAATTTGATCGGAGACTGAGAGCCAAGGGTAAAGAGTCAAGACTATAATTTGGTATCTCATATGACGTCAATGGCAGGTTTTTTGCAAGATCCATCATGAAGAACGTCCGGGCTTCAAAATCATATATAATCTAGAGCAGCTTAACAAACAATTAGTCGATGCAACATTGTCAAATAAATACCCGCTATCTATAGCCCATTTGCAGTTGCTGCAGCTTTTTCAATCCTTTTTAGCTTTGCAATTTCTGTCACTAGTTTTCGAGCACTCGAGTACCGCTTTTCTATCAACTCAGACTGCGGCATCTGCGGACCTCAACCCCTTCTCCTTTTGAAAATTCAATATATACTCGGCAAGCTCTTTCTTCTCAAAAAACCTTTTGCTATGAGCCTTTCCGTTTCGCCAATTGCTGCCGGGAAACAACTTCCTCTCCTCCTCTAGTTGCATGATAGACGGATGATTCTCTAGTCCAAAACTCCACTCGATCCTTCCAAGCATCCCCCACGGTAACAACCTGTGGCCACGGGTAGCCCCCTTCTCGATAGAACTTTCCCGGGTCCTCTTCATTTTCCTCGTCATCTGGATCAGTGGCACCGCCCCGTCCGACATTGGCATGTGACCTGTTTCCCGGCGCACTGTCCCCCGACCGAGCCCCGTGAGACCCGGAACCCCTCCCGGAGGTGCTAGGCCGGTCGGCAGAAGCCTCGCCACGGCAGGTGCTCGGCCGAGTGCCCCCCGGTTGGACTCCCCAAGCAGCCGTGCCGTCGTGCGGACCAGCCCCGGCGACCACCCCCGGCTGCCCCCTTCCAATCTCTTGACCGCCTCGCGCAGCCCCCGGTTGACCCTCGCTCACAGCCTCCCGGCCAGCCTGCCCGCCTTGTGTTCTTCCCTGGGGAAAGCTCTCCGGTGCTCCTCGCTCCGGAGCTCCCGAGGGGTGCCCCGGTCGGTGCCAATATCTGCCCCCCTGAACCTCCGACCTTACCGCGTCTGCCGCTTGCCGAACTCTTGCGCGTGCACGCAGCTCGTCAGCGAGTCGCTGTGCGATCCCTGAATCCGCCGGGGCGCCATCACGTGCGCGCTGGCCTCCAACGGCAGGACCACCGGCCTCCGCACCCTCCCCGGGCTCCGCAGCCCCACCCGATCCGGGGGCATAGTAGGCCTGGTAGAAAGCCAACTGCGCACGGAGCTCCCAACCCTCCTGTTCGAGCCTGTGTTCCCGCTCGGTTGTACACCCCGGTGCCGCCGCTGCTCCTGCTTCCGCTTCGCCTGCGGACCCTGCTTCCGCCGGACCGCCTCCAGCTCCCGCCGGGACGCCGTCCGTACCAGCTGTTGCAGTTCGCCCGCCCAACACAGATTGTTCCACCAGGTGACGGAGGCCCACAACTTGGAGACCGACCTCTCCTGTTCCCCGTCGAAGAAGAGCCATGTCACTTTGAACGCCGTGCATCGCCTCTTTCATCGATGCAGTCTCAGCGCTCAAGCGCCCAACCACCTCTAAAATGCGGGACTGCACGAACGAACAAAACAGAGTCTCATTAAGTTCGGTTGCGATCGGACTTGTTGCCAGCGGTCACAGTACGGAAATTGTCAGGATTGTCAGGATCCCGGCCATATGGAGCGCTTGAGAAGACTCGACAATTGAATAAGGTAGCGGATGACGTCAGCAAATTCACGTCCAGGCAAGATCGCGCACACTGATGACGCCAACAGTTTGCATTGGGGCGCGGACCGATCGGAGAGCGTAGAAGCAATCAGATCTGACGAATTTGCATGTGATCAGTGCTTACCGGCACATCCTTCCGTGGCGGAAGAACGCTGTCCGGCTCCGCTTCCGCCGCGAGGATGGCCTTCTTGTACGGGTCCCAATGCGGAGACGAGAACACCTTCATTTGAAAGATGGGCAGGTCGATAAACTGGTCTTGGATGCAGGCGGCGTCTTGCAGGAAGAGCAACTTGCCCACGTGGAGGTAGTGCAAGACTCCTTCCTCCGTGACGTCACGGTCGGCCTTGTACCGGGCGGTTTCATTGCGCTGCACAATTGGACGTCCGACACTCCATCAGAAGCAAGTCATCTTAAACGGTTCCTCAAGGCAGGCGGCGTGCATGTGACTCGGGTACAGAAATTAGAACTCGGAACCAGTCAGTTCAGTTTCGCACAAAAATCAGTAAACGATTGAACACAACTCTGGCTCCGATCAAGTGAGCGTGTTCTGAACAAGAATCTTTACGTCAAGCTGCACTTCAGTATCTCCGCACCTCTAGCGATAAGAACAGGTGCACGATGCGGGGCCTACCTTCTTGGCTTTCTCGTACTGTTTATCAATCCAGGGCAGCATGTCGTCCAGAAGTTCCTTGACCCCCTCCTTGTCCACTTCCGCATGCTCTCTGCAAGAACGAATAGCAGATTCAGCATACAGTTCCAATCAGAATACACTTTCAATTGCCATTATTCGTTTCGAGCAAAGGCAACAAGGTCGGGCTCGCAAGGCTATCCTCATTTCGGAGGAAGTTCATGCGAAAGAAATTCACGAACCAAGACGCTCAACAGCCCTCCGTGGCGGAACGGCAATCAATTTTCAGCAACGACACGTCGAATGACTTACGATACAATGTTCAAACAGAAAGTACGTTTTAAACAGCAAGGAACTTGGCAAGACAGGAAGCATAAGAGCATACTCCTACTCTGCATTGGCCTTTGCAAAGGAGGCATTAAAACGCTCACCGCGGGATCCGATACCCGTCGAGGAAGTTCCCCGCCCGAAAGTTCCTCCGGAAAGCCTGCCATGGCCAGTTGCACGCTCAGCGGGGTGTCGTCCGCGTACGACATGTTGAAGTGCTTGTTGAGCACATGTTGCGCAAACTTGGCCGCCTTCGGTACGTCGACCAGCGGAATCCTGTGCCAATGCAGATTTCCGGTTTTAGTAACGGCGTTACAACCAGGAAGATAGGAATCCCCTGACCAGACTCCTCCAAGCAGTCTCAGGACCACCTATTCGCAACAGCAATCAAGTAAGACTGCCCAATTACCAATCAGAACCTGCTTTTGAAGGAAACACGTCCAAGACGCGCAAATACTTAGAAGCATGAAAGCATAGGCAATCCATGCTCCGAAAGGGTTAGGAGATGGTTAAAGGTTGGTCAAGAGCAGATAACCCTACTGAAAGTCTTGAAGTAGAAGACTCACCCGGACTTCACGAGCCACTTGATCCCTTGCTTCCGCCCGAAGTGTGTCACCTTCCTCGAACGAATGCTCAACTTCTTCTGAAGGACGCGTATGTATCGCGCTTGTGTAGCAGCGCACCGTCCCTTGGTGGGGCCCTTCGCTCCTGGCGAGACGACCTCCCTTTGCCTACAAACGGAATGTCAAAACAAGCTCTAAAAGTTCTAGGATATGATGATTACTGCTTATCTTGATGTAGAATCTGGTCCGGCCTGACCGAGCTGACTGTGCCTGGCAAAAAGCATTAGGGCAGCTACGGAACCAGCTCGGGGGAATGTTCCGACCACTTGGCAACTCTTCAGATCACAACGAAATGCATGGCACACCAGAAAACGTCACTACAACAAGTTCAAAGGCACTTGAGACAGGGCCCCGACCATCAGAACTGGTCTCAGGTAATATCGATACTCCAAGTCGATTGTGTCGATAGTTACTACAGCCCGGGGCATCACCCCGACCAGCTGCTCGGAGACTCTCCACAACTTCGGGTTCTCAAATTTCCCCGCAATCTGGCTGAGCAGAACTCAACAAAAGCTTGAACCCCATTCGATGCGGACTGTAAAATCTTTTAGAATGGACTTACCAGCTTTTGTCCCCGACCTTGAGTTGCTTCTTTCTTGTCCGCTCCCACAAGTAGAAAAGGTGGCAGAGACGTGCAAAGCGAGGGTCGAACAGGGGACTCCGGTGCCTCAACGTAGAGTGCACCTCGATTCGTCCGTTCTGGAAGAGAAGAAAGCATAATCGTTCATTGGCAAACTTCACAAACAACAGCGATGTGACGCCTCTTCACATACTCTGGACGGCAACACGAGAGTGAACTGAAGTTTACGACAACGTATTTCACGTTCTTTCCTTAAGGTGTCGAACCTGCAGCATATGCATGATTTGCGAAGCGATTACAACTTGCTCTTCAGAAATAGCAAGTTCGGGTGACTTACGTCATTGTGCTTGGCGTTGTCGCTGATCAGGTCGTGAGTGTAGCCCGTCGACGGCCCAACCATTGGCTCGATGCGGGACGCCTGGTCTGACCACTGCGTCACTCGTGTTGTCTTGCTCCGCAGCATCATGTTGTAGAGGTGCAGGTTATCCGCCCCGCATTTGGACGCAGCCGACAATTAGGACTTCAACAGCTCTGAAGAAGGTGGCCTGGTTGCGGACGAGCTAGCAACCTTGCGCATTATATCTGATGCGACCCTCAACGAGAAGTCTGAGCATTCAAAGCAGGCATTAAGCATAAGCAATGAGAAGGTCTGAGCAATCTATTCTGGCTGATCTTTACCTTTCTAAGGTATTGGCGTACCATAAGCATCAAACACAACTCTTCTTCACATTCTCACAACTTACCATGCTTGAAGGAACCCAACAGGGGTGGTCCCTGTGCCCCGCAACTCTTCCTTTGACAGCGACGCATACTCAAGCTGGAGCCTTTGAAATTGCTCCCACTCCTCCGGGGAAAGCTGGTCCGTCAACTCGTCATGCTTGTCTACCTGCTCCCTGCAGAAACAGAACATTGTCATCGGGAACAGTTCAATAAGTTCAAGCATAACTTATGACAACGACTAATCTAGCGAATGCTACATGGACAAGCAGACAACAGATTTGGGTACAGAGAGTTTCAAGCACTTGCACCAAGCTTGTTGTTGCTGTCACGCTCGCATCCTGACGTACTGCAAGGTTTGCAAAAGAAGCAATGGAGCAAACTCGAGGCATCTACAAGGAAAGGGCAGAGGCCAGGAAGATTCTGCTGCCAAGGAACTCGTCCCAAAAACTTGTACCAGTGTCTTTTCGTATTCAGAACACATGGATTAGAATCCTACTAGTTGATCATGCAAAAAGCCAAGGCCTTACTCCTCTCGTCTCCTCGCAGTGTCTTTCTTTTCAGTCTTCAATTTCTCTTTGACCTCCGGAAATGCCCGCGAGTTAGGCTTAGGACCTTGCTTGCCCCCACACAACCAGAGGTGGTGAAGGGTCCACTGCAATCCCCGGGCGTACTTGTCAAGCGTCGGTGGTTTCTGCATAAAAGGATTACAGTCGAGTGTGTTTGCAAAGCCTTTCTAAGAATGAAAGTGAGCATGCCAGAACATGGGCAGCATCTTTGCAAAGCAGGACCTGGACGCAACAAGCAATAATGTAAAAGCAAGATGTGCCCAGCGTGACTACCAGGCATGACCTGGGCTGCGAACCAGTATTTGAAACAAACTGATACTGCCAGGCTAGAGTCAGCTTTGAGTGCATACTTGTGGGCTGTATTCGAACTAGATCGTGTCCTCACGTTGCACGGTGTTTCCTTGAAAAAGGTGCGCACTCCTTCGGCGGTGATGTCAGCATACCTGACGCCGTCCCGCTGCTGAAAGAACCTCTGGAAAGCAAGAAGGGTGTGTTAGTTAATAATAAACCCCCTAATATGAATCTCGAGAGAGTGTGGACAGTACTGCACGTATTGCCTTTCAAGCACCACTTTTTCATCCCTGGGATCCAAAGCACCGATCGTCTCAGGAGAACAACAGCTAGTAATGAGTGACTGCTTTTCATGGCCTCGCATTGAGTGACTGCTTTTACTATACAAACACAGCAAATGCACAGACAGGTCAATGGGCTCCAACTTAAAGAAGGAAGAAGAGCAGAGCATACGACTAACTTGCCACAATGCAGCAGTTCAGAAGTTACATACCTGGTATGCTCGTCGGCCAGCTTTGTAATTGTCAGCAGTGGCTGCATGAATATGATCCTCCTCATGCGGAAAGCTGCGGAACATCTTCTTCTGCTTTTCACGACGAAGGTGGGCAGCTCTTTTTGCCAACTCCTGGCTCTGTCTCCTTGCCTTCTTAGCTGCAACATACTCATCCACTCGCGGTTGCCGCTTTCTCTTGGCAGCTTCCTTCGCTTTTGCTTCCATTGCTGCAGCTTTCACCGACCTGCGGCGCTTGCCTCTTGCCATTCGGCACTCATGCTCTGATTGCAACCAGTTTTCCATGTTGTGACGGTTGGACAGGGTTACACGCTGCCTGTCTACTTC